CAAGCAGTAGCATGTTATTACTATTATAAAATATATTTAGCGCAGAAAGTAACTGAAACGTTCTACCTAAGTGCAGCCTGCAAAATGCCAAAGTGCATTGTAATCGCCGGGGAAAAAGCGAAATCCCCGAACGCGGCGGCCGACGTATCGATCAGTCGCCGAGGCAAAGAGCGCGAAAACCATAAGTGCACACGCGACTCTTTATCGCTGATAAAAAACGCCGTCCACGTACGCTTCCCTCCGCTTCGCTTTCGCGACATCCGTGGGATTCGCCTCGCGAGTGCGTCCCGCTTAAAGCCGCGCTCGCGAAATTAAATCTCGTTCGTGCGCCAACTCCCCGCCACCTGTATTTTTATCGAGATGTAATCAGCGAAGAGGAAGACGCGCGACTTTCACTCGGCTAGCGTTCCCACCTGCGACTCTTGCATTCCCACCCTCTGTGTTTGCCCTGTGACACTTATTACATTTCGCGGATATTTCATGCGCGCGCATCGAACGCGTCGCCGGGGAAACGATCGTTGGAGGAGGCGCGAGATCGCAAGGCCGCAACGATGATGATCTTTCACACGCGCGATATAAGATATCGCTCGGGAATCACGCGGCCGTCGCAGGGAAGCCGCGTGTCGTGACATTAATTTTTCGCGCGTTTCTCCCGCGCTCGTTTGCAAATTGTATTTTTATCTCGATGTAACGGGCGCAAAAGGGGGACGACGTGCGTCACTCATGTCATCGGCGTCACCTTCGCGCCCTCCCTCACCCCTCGACGTCACGAGCGTGATCGCGAGGGGCCGTTCGATCGAGTGAATTATGTGTCGCTGAGAAATTGTTTGCAGTCAGCCGGGCTGACACGCGACGTGTTGAGACCGTGTTCGTGACACGTGCGCCGGAGATAACGGGCGCAAAATTTGTTATCGCGCTGTCTATGGTGGTATACCGGCGGGAATGCGTATCAAACGCATTTCTTTCTCGGCGTAACTTCGCGTAACTTTCAGCTGGTCTCTCGACTCCCCCTCCGCCTTCTCCTTGCCTTTGTGCCCGGCCGCGCTCTTTCCGCCAAAAGACCGCGACTTGTCTCTCTCTCTCTCTCTTTCTCTCTCTCGCGCGCGCATAAAAGTTGCATGGCGCAATTCCGGCACGAGGCGTCGTCCGAGCGGCGTCCAAGAGGCGATATACCGTCGTCGGTCTCGGGCGACGATTTTTATTAACGGCTGCTCGCCGACGCAAATAAAACAACGAGGCCAACGTGGCCCGCGCGGTGAAACGGAAAAAATTATTCATACGTCTTCTAAAAGTGGAAAAAGAGAAAGCGAGCGAAAAAGGGAGGGAGGGGGGAGAGAGAGAGAGAGAGAAAGGCGTGCGCGGAAATCGACGGAAGGCCGTTTGACCCGCGCTCTTTGTTCTTCCTTTTTTTTTTTTCCGTTTGTCAGTACACGTCGATCGGCCAATAATTGATGTTTCCAACCGGCGAGAAGTCTGGTTCACAGGATGCTTTTACCGTCACCCGGGATAGATGGGAAACAACGCGAAAGAATTCAAGAGACCCACGAACGATTTCACTATATTTTTTAAAGGTGCGGGGAAAAATGAATTCTCGAAAGTGTTGTCGCGCCAATCTACCATCAATCCTGTCGTTAGCGCGTGAGTATTTGACGATAGATCCCCCCTCCCCCGGCTAATTTGTCATGCACTTTGTCGTCGAGCACAAATGAAAATAATCGACTCGAAAAATTGTGACAATTTCTGACGTTGTGAGCGCGTCGATGCTGCAAGGAGAAAAATAATTTTGCTGTATTAGCGAAACCACATAACACACACACACACACACACGTGCAACATATCTCGTTGCTACTGCACATTCGTTGCGACGGCAATAAAATTTAGTCGGCGTAATCAAATTAGCAAATTTTCGCAATTAAAGCGAAAATAGTTTTGTCGCCAGGATAGAAAATACTCTGCTGAGTGAATTTATCTTTAAGACAAGTTAACTTACTGCCAGGACAAAACAATCCTCCTAATCTACTAATTTGTTCTTACACCAAAATAATTTGTAGATTCAGCTAAATAATCCGGCGAATGGCAATTAGTACACCCTTGGTAGGAATGTACGCAGTTTCCCTGGACACCAATCCGGTTACCGTCTAATATTCATGCATTCTCATCGGTTGAAACAATATTGCGTAGAACGCAAAATAATGTCTTATCCGGAGGTATTTTAAAGCAAACTTGTCCATTTCATAAGCAGCAGACTTGCTTATTAATCAAATCGTTTTTCCGTCCATTTATCGTTCTATTTTCGTTCAGTAAGTGAGTCCGGATTTTGCGCGTCTTTTGTGCGCAGTAACTTCAAAAAAAGCGTTGTACCTTGACTGAAACCCCAAGTAACTTTACTTCTCTGTTACTAAACAGAAGTCAATAAAACTGTTCAGTGACTGCTAAAAAAAAGAAATGCGCGCAATTCCTAACACGATCTCCAACAAGTCGTTTTGCTGTGTAAACCAGTAAACAGTACTTTTCCTTACATTTTCCGCAGTAACAGCGAAACGCCTTGCGACGAATTCGAGTTAGTAATCAAATGCTAATAATAATCAAACGCCTTTCTAACGCTCCCGTCGCAGCAACGACACTCCGTTTTTCTTTTTCATTCGCAGTCACGAGACCGTCGTGGCGCGTCTATTCCGCGTCGAACGGCGCGCGCTCGCTCGTAGGTGGATAGAAATTATCGAATGTAAAGCGAACTGGATAGTTAAACGCGCTGTCATAAACTGTGCTCCCGCGGGGATTAAAGCCGATTTAGCCCGCGAGATGCACGCGCGTTATCGGGCGCGCAGCCTCAGGTGTTGCTGCTACTTCGGGTTAAGTCGCTGCTGTCATGCGACGTGCGCGCTACGTGTGTCATTGGTAATTGCGTGGATTTAATATCGGCGAATGCGCGACGCCGAATATCAATCTATCCCGCAAATGCGGTCGCCGGTGCTGCTTGGTCAGGCTAATATTAGAGTTACATCGCGTCGCTCTCTCGATTATAACGGAGTTAAATCGCGCGCGTGGCGACCGAACGCGCACCTCCCGTCGCTTCGACACGCAACATGAATCGTTAACAGAATGACAAAGTAGAAGCGATCGAAGTTAGAATGATTGAGAACGTTTACATTTTAAGTCGCTAAAAAATCGACGGCCGTATAAACAACACGCCGCAAGTCAGTGTGTACGCGCGAGAATTAAACGTTCAAACGTTTAATTACCGCCGCGTTCACGATCAGGTGCGATTTTACGACTATCGATCTCGACGACCGCTCGAGAGAAACGTTGCCTTGTAGTCTGTCGAATTCGGACTGCGTGTGGCTCGTGCCGCCGAAGAAACGCGGACGAAAGAACGAACTCGGCTCGGAGAAGCGCTTCGTGAACGTTTGCCGTTCGCGAACTACTTGAGGCGCGACAACGCCGTGGGAAGAGCCGCGAAAAGAGCCGTCGCGAGAGAATACCAATCCGGTCGACAGCCCAGTTAGACCCTACTCGCGATTCGATTTTCCTTCCTACCCGTCTTTTTTCCCGGTCGGCCTCATTATTCGCGGGCAAGCGCCGCACGACCGCGTCTCGATTTAATCGAGACCTCGATTCCACGTGTTCCGGCTAAATTAACGCGCGAATAACATATTCGCGAAGAATTAGAATAATATATTCTAACTAAATATATTCTACCGCCGGTGTAAAAAGGCACGATCTTTCCGCGACCTAAGATTCGACGATATAAGTAATTTATTTATCTAGGTATTTATCCCCAACGGGGTAACCCGTTTTTATTAAAGAAAAAAGAGGAAGGTACGCAAACCGAATGCAGGGAAGTAGTGTGAAAAGAAAAATAGAAAAATAAATAATCGATGAATTTTGCAGTGATTACGATAAAGCGAGAACAGCAGAACACTTAAATTCGGATGAAGGGTTGGAAAAGAAGTCAAGACTGCAAGACGTAGCACGCAAAGTTGTGAATTCTAGTTATTGGATCACGAAAGATGCGAGCGATAAAAGGCAGGACGAAATAGAGGAACGACGAAAATAGGTCTCGGGCAAGCGTTAAAATTAATCGATGATGAGAACAAGGAACAACTGAGATTTCCAACAATTATGTTATATAAGAAAACTAGATTAGTCACCTGTCTAAAATCTTCAAGTTGGAGGATCATGAATAATAATAATGAAGAGAACGTACGATTTTAAATATGGGAGAAGTGAGATATTAGATTATCGGTCGTTGCTCTTATAAGATTGACCAATTGAGATCATTGTAAAGTACGATTTGCGAATGTTTAAGATTCCGAAATAATTTAGGATAATTCCGGTTCAAAGTTTGCCGGTACGTATATAATAAAAATCAAATCCGCTCATAAAAAAGGCATGACAATCGACATTTCAAATGTATCGAAATTATCAAATTTCTCGAGTATATCGAAATATTAAAGCCTTTTTTCATACGCGATACTGATTGCCGTGTGTGGTCGGCTTCGCACCGCTTGGTTATATACTGAGAAAAAAAGACTTAAAAATTTATTTAATTAAAATATAAAGTTTATCTCACAAAAATAAACTTAAATAAATTTATTGATTTAAATACGGCGAAATAAAATTGTATTCCTAGCCAAATAAACTAATAAGAAAACTTAGTTATATTTCACAAAAATATATATTCCGTCGTTAAAATCAAATTTTTCTTTCTAATCAATAAATATCGATGAAAATGTCACAAGAAACATTCACTTCGCAAAATTTCAATTGCTTTTTCTCAGTGCGGCTGTCATCGCCGTTATCAATCGAATGACGACGTGATATTCGATTTCACAGAAATAAATCTTATTTCTCTGTGTAATAAACTTTATATCTCGCGAATAAGTTTCCAAGTACCTCTTTCTCAGTGCATGCACGTATTAGAAAATATATAATAATGATCCAATATACGTGTGTATTCATTGTGGCTCAACTCCACTCTCTCTCTCTCTGTGTTACAGTGGCTCGGTCTGGGCATCATGGGGGTGGGTGTCTGGGCATGGACCGAAAAAGACACCTTCAACAATCTGTCCCGCCTCACGAACATCGCGCTCGATCCAGCATTTATCCTCATTCTAGTCGGTGAGTACCATTACTTCTTCCCCTTACCCTCTTCTCTCTTTTTTCTCTTCGCTCCCGCTTCCTCGCATGCCCCACGACTTTCGGAGGCTCGGCATCTGGTGAGTCAAGATGACTTGGAGTGTCGCCGGCCTAAACGCAAAGGACTCCACGAAGAACGGTAAATCTTAATTACGACGCGACGGCGACACCACGGCGGCAGGGCGGCGCTGCCAGAGATTTTATCGCGCATTCGTCGCGCACTTGTCGCGATATCGGCCTGTATGTTATCGGACGAAGCGAAAAACAAGTCCGGGGGACTTTCAGCTAAATTAACGCTCGAGTAAAATGGGGATCGGAGTTGCTGGGGAAAAGTCGCACGATCCTGCTTGCGCATATTTCATTCCGTAATGCCCGAAATGTCGAGATTGGACAATTTCAGAAAGAGAAACAAATACTGATAATTTTCAATCGTAAAGACGCGTGTATCTCGATAAGCGGACGATTATTCGTCAACAACAACCTCCAAGGATTCTCTTGACGAGTAAAAATACGAGCGATCACTCATAATTTCGTTTAATATCGAAAGTCTAAATTGCCGCATGTAGCGATAACATAAACTTAACGCGATACTAACACCATAAACTCAATTTCCCTTAGCGCATATACGGGGGTAATAAAGTTTTATAATTTTGTATACGTAAAATCACGCATATCAGCACGCAAGCGCGCGCGCAATGCAACATCGTCGCTGCAAAGCTCCGACGTTTTGGTGTATGCGAAATTTTGTTAGCTGCACACTCGGATAGTCGCGATGCGTTCACGCTCGGGTAATTGTGATGTAACGAGCACCGTATTTTCTACGTATCGTCCGACTTTCGCGCGCGCGCAATTACACGGGGCTCGTTACCGGTTAAATACAAAAACGAGCTCCTCTGCAGGCTGATCGCTCGGAAAAAAAGAAGTGAATTATGCGCCCGTGCGACGCGGAGAGAAAACGCAGATTAACGCTTCATTAAATAAACACACATCGCGTTGGAAACACATATATATATATAATAAATGTAATTACGCGTCAAATTACTCGGAAACTGATGGGCGCGGGATGCTATTTCGTGGCGCGTAAGAACAAACGGAGCGAGCGCGTACATGACATGACACGAGCGTACTCCCGCGCTTCTCCTTACCACCGATTACCGAGAACGATCCGGGACGAAACTTTTATTGAAATTAGCAAGCCGTAATTAACAATCGCCGCAGCTGTCGATTCTTTCGCCGTCCCGGCGGAAGCGATTGGAGCCGCGCGTTTATCGAGTAAACAGTTATCGGTGCGTTTCGCCGAGCGCGTTTGCAACATCGTCGCGGTCGCGGCTGAAACATAATGATAACATAACAAATAACATCGCGGAGAATTCCAATTAACGCCGGCGAGCATCGGCGAATCCGCGAATCAAGGGAGAAGGGACGGCATAGACACGCTGTAGAACCGACTGAGCGTCAGTCAATGAGCTGAAGCCAAGATCGAAGCACAGAGATGTTAACCAGTTTCTCTGCTGCATTGTAGAAGAGGATGCAGGGGAAACGAGACTGAAAGTGAACGTAGAGAAGGAAGAGAGGAATAATATGCATTTGATTGTGTGGGAAGGCATAAATAGTACGCCAGTGTGTAATTAGACGTACAATTAGACGTACAATTAGACGAGGAAAGCACCACTATCTCTATCGCTCTCTCTCTCTCTCTTACTGATGCCGGCTTTAGTCCTTCAATGGGAATGTTCAGTCTATTTCACATGTCTGTGACGACATATAGAATAAAGCGTGAACGAGCCTCATCCTTTTGCCCGCGCAGAACCGGGTAAATCAGACGAAGTGACAAGCCGAAAAATAACGCGGGCTGTATAATAACGCGGTAATGTATCAATGATACCGGCAGCCTCGCGCCTCCCGACTGCGAGAGTTCTTAGGAATCAGAGTCCCAGGGCGACGCGATTCTCTCCTCGTCGCGAGGGCGGAAGATAAGCCACGTGCCGACGCGATGTTACCAGCCCCGTAAAAGGGCTGCATTTTGCGAAAGTCGCGAGAGTGAAAACCGCTGCTCTTTGTCGATCACGACGGTGTGTTTCGACGTAGCGGTGAACCCGGCCTGCGATCGTTGTGCGCGCATGTCGTTCGATATTCAATAATAATAATAATGAGGAAGACGGATTACCCTTTTCCTCGCGAAATTTCAAAACCTAACCCGATAATTTTCGTCACTGAAAATGTCGTAGCGTTAATTAGCCGGCTTGCGAGCCGGTGTGACGGGTCGTTGGAAAATAATTCCGCGCGCTTCAAAGCGGGGAGTAAACGAGAAGACACAATGCGTGTTTGATTTAATTCGGAGCGGACCTTATTTTAGGCGAGCTTCGGTTTTAATGCAGAATTTTAAAAAGCGAAATTTCACCCATGTACAAATATGAAACGTCAGAAAATTATGTTTGTACATTTCTGTACGCGTAGATTTTTTTTTTTAGTAAGATTTCAGTTTTGCTTGATATGAAGCGGAGAAAGATCCCCCCCCCCTTTTTCACACGTTGTACATTGTTCGAAACAATGATAGGCGGTCAAATTAAACGAATGGTTTCGCGAAATAACTGTCCAGTCTCAATTACGTATGGCGAGAACAAACTTATCTCTAAACCCACCACCATCTGCATTTCGCAGCCATTGTTTTCGCTCACCAAACCCCGTCGAATCAGGACCGGCAATGTCCATCTAGAACAAAAAGATACAATTCCATTGATTAGATTTAAGAACTTATCTCAACGAAAAATTAAACGTGGAAAGGAACACGTTAACCTTTTGCGATCGTGGTTCAACGATTTTCACTCCGATAAGTGTATCTCGATTTTCGATCGCGATAGATTCAATCTATTTTGGAGGATTACAGGAAGTCTGTGAACCTACCTTCGTGCCGACCCTGCTTGGCCCGGATCCTTCGGTACTGCATCCGCATATCCGGGACCGACGTCCGTGTGGTCGCAAGTTCCGCCAGAGATCTGAGACAAAAGAATACATTTCACGATTAATTACGCCGATAGGGAAATGCCGAGAAATTCGAGCACTCAACTCTCTATATTCTTCTTCTATACGTAATCAAGGCGAAAGGTGGTGGTTATCTTTTCGAAACGTTGCTACCGCTCATGATTATCTCGGCACACGAAGCACACGAAACACACACGCAACGCGGGAAATGCACACGAAGCGCAAGAAATATCGCGTAATTCGAGGATTGCGATTTATCCGCGTCGATTTATTCGGAAAAGTTGAGAGAGAGAGAGAGAGAGAGGCGACAACGTAAACCGAACTACCGCCGCGTCCGAATCCGTTATGATCTACGCGCGCGAGACGCCAGGCGTCGGTATGCATTGTTTACGTGCTTCGCGCGCACGGCAAGGTCAGGCAGGCGTCCTTTGGTCTTGTGCTTGAGTCAGCCATTTTACGTGCTTTCTTTCACTCTCATTCATCGCACCACACTCTATTCCGACGTTTCCGACTATCTTGAAGTATCATTTTCCCCACACACGTTTCGACAGCTCTCGACGCGTATTTTTTCATATACCGTACGGAACTATTTTGTGATCTCATTAAGATTTCATAATTATTATTCGACTTATCCTCCCTCTCTCACTTATTCGATCTCCGATAATTATCGATACACGCGATCCTGTGACGCAGGAATCGCCTCGCACGATACCTCCGATTATCGCTTTCACTCTCGAACGCGTTCAATTGCCTCCGTCTTTGTTGCGAGTAAAACCCGATTCCTACTCCGTCGAGAGATCGTACATACGTACGTACCGCGCGGTAGAGCGGACCAGAGAAACGTAATTAAAACGGTGCGGTGGGCTCGAAGGGCGCGAGGGGGTTAAACGTGCCGACAGAAAGCGCGTCCGCCGCCGATACGTTTCCATTAACCACCACAGGCTCTCCGCGGCCCCGCGTCTCCGCAACGCGAATGTAATATTCCGCCGGCTAATACGCGCGCCTCGCTGGCAAATAGACGCAGATTGCTGCGCCCGGTTGTTCCACTTCCTCGAGCCTTCCCTCTCGAGCCCGGACTAACCGGCACTCCTCTCTTTCTCTCTCTTTCTCTAAGGAGGTGGCAAAGTTTTAATTGGATACGAGCCAGGGCGGCCAGGACGACGGACATAAAATTAGGACGGGATTTGCGTTCGATTTATTTCGTCGTCGGTGGCGGCGATCCCAGCGAGTTGCGGACGTCACGTTTCCCTCGGAGGGAGACGGGCCGCGTTCCTGCGAGACTCCGGCGCGACGTCGGATAAGTCGGATTACCGGCGGGTGTATACGCGGATTCCGGGGGATTCCATGCACCGGGAAGCCGCTCGCGAGACGGCCGCTCTCTCGCGGTCAGCCGCGCGGTTTAGCCGGCCCGTAAACGGCGAGAATGTTTCCGGGAATGTTCACGGCGACCAATTCAAACAGGTCGGCGACGGAGGTGGGTTTTCTACGCGCCGGTGGAACAGGCTCTAAATCGAATTTGCACGTGATCCGGCACACGCCGGAGGAACAACGAACGGCACGCGGGAGACCACTCGAGTACGAAAGGACGACCGATTTGCGGGAGCTCATCTATTTGTTTCCCCCCCCCCCCTTTCTTCCAGGCCGTGGAAACATCCACTCCCCGCCGTCCCGAGTGCTCGGGAATGGCGAGCGCCGACGAAAAGAGCCCGCTGAGTGTGCCCTTTCTCTCTCTTTCCTTCTCCTGATCCACTTTTTTCCCCTTTTCCAGCCCGATCGAGAGAACGATTCACCTTTAAAATATAGCTACCATAGCGATGTGATTCACTGTAATGCGAGTAATGACATTGGTTCCTGATCTCTCTTCGTAAGAGACTTTTGTACGTTACGCGACACATCACAGTAAACCGACTAACAATGACGTCACGTCAATGTTGTAATTTCTCATTCGACAATGCAGGTGCGATATATAACATGCGTTATATGACAGTTACATTATTGACTGGGAAATTTACAACATTGCTGTGATATTACTGTTAATTAGTTGTTTACTCTCTCTAGGATATGTAAATTTACAATTGATTTTCATCGTTTTCAGATTAAAATTAGATCAATAGCAGACCCATCTTCGATATATTTAGAGAAAGCGTGTGATTGTATTAAGCTGAAAAAAGAGCTTTCATCTCTGCAATAGATTTGTTATTTCAATTTGGAGAAGTGAGCAGCTAATAATGTTGAGCAGGATGTATAAATGTCATAGGTATTATATAATTTATTGTTATCCGTCGCGTTTTATTCCCGGCGCTCAATAATTTTTCCGAGAATCGCCGAGATAAATACGCGTATCCCGGAGTTAACCTGCATTTCACCGAGTTCATCAATTTTCCGAGACAGAATTCGTTTAGAAAACACGCGTTCGGAAATCCGACTAAAGTTATTAGCACTGCAGTTGGCTAAATTCTCGCGCGAAAAGAGAGAAAGAGAGAGAGAGAGAGGAGAGGAGGAAGTGGGACAGAATGAAAGAGAAACAAATTAAATCCCGGATTACGTTTGTTGTCGTTGCTCAAATAAATGCGATCGCAATTAAGTGCGACGTTTTGATTTCCGACGCCTGTACGCCTCCTCCTCTTCTAATGGTACATTTATCTCGTGCGATTTCAAACGTTCTCTGATATAATTTATGTGCTTGTTAAATATTGTACACACTATTAATTAAGTAAATATATATATATATATGTGTGTTGTCGAAACTACTGTCACAATAAATCCATCAATCATTTACGCAATATATTATGACAAATTATATTTCCCGATTAATTTCATGCCGGGGTCGCCTGAACAAAATTCCCGTTCAGTTGCCGAAGCGTTGATTAAAGTTGAACATTGTTGAGAACTCACGAGTGACAAGAGACAACCAATCGGAGAGAGACGGAGTGCGCACTGTGCGCGGAAAACAAATAGATATATTTGTTAAACAAGATTCGTGTATACATGAAAGGAAGTGCGGGGGCGTGCCTCGACGGGCGTGAACTTTTTCGTCGAAATTTTTCGGCGAGGACCCGTTAAAATCAACACGAATATCGCCTATCCGCTCCGCCGTGATATTCGCGCATCGCGAGGCGAGATCAAACGGACGCGTTCCTCTCTCATGCAATTTTATTACCATATGACATAAAGCAACGTCGCGATATTGCAGGCACGGCAAAGCCTTTTCGGCCACCGACGATTCACACCTCAATCGCCCTTTTTATGAAACATTGATTGTACGCCGAATATTAACGTGCGAGATTGTTTTCGAGCTTCCGGCGGAGGGAAGGAATCTATCGCCGCGCGTGCAAAGTACATCTACTACGGAGAACGTCCCGTACAAAAGAAAAATTCCAAGCGCGCTCTCACGAGCGTCCACGTTTCGGCACTGCGCGTTGTTCATTTTTCCCCGACGGATCTTCCGTCCGATGCGCTTCCCACCGTTGCCATTTTCTTCCAGTCCGCGGTAAGGCTTAGGCGAAAGTTCCGAAACTCCGGACTAATTATTCAGTTACTTGAAAGCTTCGTTCCACACTGCCCCATCCTCCCGCTTTAGCCGCGGATTAAAAGTTACCGCTCATTTCCGAGGCTCGTCCTAAAATCTTATAACTTTCGCCGATAGATAAAACTCATTAAGCCCCGATAGTCGTGCGGTTCGGCTTATATAATCACCTCTCCACGGTGGGGCTTGTTAATTCTTCACGCACCGAGCGATTATCGTCACCTTTGCGCACGATGAAATCTTCTTCGGGCTACTTAGAACACCGTCGATCGAGAACCCCGCGCGCGCAAAACTTGTTAATTGGGACTGTCCGAACGAAACTCGAAAACTGCACGAAACCCCGTCATTTGCCGGAAAATCGTGAAATTAATTCACTCCCACGATATTCGCCGATTCATTCGTCGCGCTATTTTCAACGCTTTTTTCTAACTCTAGCCTTTCGGCATTTCGGGCAAAAACTATCGAAATTCGCCTCCGGAGTGGCATTAAATTGGAGGAGCCGGGAAAGCCGCTCGAACGCCCTCTGATCAGTTCGCGATACCGGCGCACGAATTCGGAGCACTTACGCTCGCACAAACTTTCCGTTAACACAAACACGTGGAATTGATCCCGCGCTCATTACGCGGCTTGCTCGTCCGCGAGTAACAGATAATTTCATAAATATTCCGCATTACCGCGCCGCAGCGCGGGCGCGCTGCTGCTGACGCGCTCTCGCGAAATTCAGCCGGATCGCGGAGGAATTTTAATATAATTACTTGTGTAACTACGAACGTTCGCGGGCGTACGTGTAATGTATACGCAACGCGCGTTCGTAAATCAGAGTTGTTACACAGACATAATTTCAGAACTCGCAGAATATCCCCCCTTCCCCCTCGCTTTCGCCGACTAATAAACTCGCCTTTTCCATGCCCGCGCGAGTCAAGAGTGATACTGCAAATTTGTAAAGCGAAAGAAAACCGTGATGCTGCAAAGAGCTAAAAAAAGAAGGGAAAAAAGTGAACAGATTGGAAAACGAGCGGGGAAGGAATTGGGGTATTACAACTGGAGATCTCCAGATTTTAATAAACTTTTCTTCCCCCGCGAATCAAGAATGAAACGGGAGCTAAGTACGTGACGACAAAGTGAGAGAAAGAGAGAATTTCTTTCTCACAGCTCTCGTATCGCGCTTCTCGCGTATAAACGTATCTATAAACGCTGATTCGCGCGTATCGTTGGAACGTCGACGAATACCGTTGAATAAACGAGTCTCTTTCTCTCTCTCTCTCTCTCTTTACTCTCTTTTTTCGCGCGACTTCTTCCGGGCCGTTGCTTTCAATCTTCCCGGGCTGCTCCCGCACGGTTTTCCGTTACTCGCAGCGAACCTGCAAATGTTTCTGGAAACTCGCGCGGGGAATGAATTCGCTCGGAGGACGCGCGGTGCACCGCCGCTCATAACTCACGATTATACGATACATTGATGAATGCGCTCGCGTTCTTCGCGTCGCGGCACGGCGCGATGACGAAGCACCCGATACTATTATTTATTCTGTTGCAGGTGCGGTGACATTTATCATCGGTTTCACGGGATGCGTCGGCGCGCTGCGGGAGAACACGTGCCTCCTCGCCGCGGTAAGCAAGTTCAATTAAACTCCCTCAGGGATTATTTTAATTGCCCGATTTCTCTTCCTCTCTCTCTCTCTCTCTCTCCCTCTCCCGCTCGGAACTTCGAACTTTGATCGAGCTTCCAGTTCGTTAGACGATATCTATGGTCCGACGCCGTCGCGATCGAACGAAAAAGATCTCGGCTCTTTGAGAAACGCGCGCACGCGCGACGTTCGAAAGCACTTCAAAGCCGGAGGCTCTGTTTTCTTTGACGACGTAAATTCTTGAAATTAGACTCCCCCGAAAAGGATCGCGTAGCGCGCGGTTGAAAGGAAAGATCCCGGCGAGTAATAGTAACGGCACCGCTTCCGCGACCTTCTCCCCTTTCCACCTTCTCGCTGGATGGTAATTAATTTCTCAGGCGATTTTAATAGAATTCGTATTGCGTGTTGCAGTACGCGATATTTCTGGCGCTTCTGCTGCTGATAGAGATGACTGCCGGTGTCCTGGGATTCATCTTCAAAGACTGGGTAAATATCGTTGCATTCCGCGCGTACGCTTTGTCTCTTCTATGAAAATGACGTTTTCCACGATTCTCGAGAATCCACGGTCGGTAATGTATGATAACAATTACAGGTGAAACGCACGGATGCTCCAGTAAGAAAAAGAGAAAGAAAAGACAAAGATTTATGTCGAAATTGCGAGACGAAATGAAATAAAAATCTATTTTGACGATACTAACATCTTTTAACTCCTCTCTTGAATCTTTAATTCTACAGACTGAATTTTACTGTTACTTTCAACAACGCTGTTTTAACGCTAAAACAGCGAAAACGGTAATTTAAGAATTATCGGGATCAAAGTAGGGAATATATAATATTATTAGAATTGAAATTGAAAAGCTATTTTGCTATCTTAGCTCCTACTATGTTGTAGAATGAAAAGTTTAACACAGGGTCAAAATTTCGACTCGGGAGCCAAGAAGAACAAACAAGAGCGTATCGCGGAGGTGTCGGCACGCAAGTATCAGTGATAAATTCAAAGCTAATAACGTTTGCGAAATAATAAGGAAAGTTGGCCACTGAAGGGCTGACGAGGCGCGCGAAATGTTTGTTTTGCAATTTATCACCGATACTTACGCGCCTGGGGATACCTGTTCAGGTGTTTCGGACGTTTCGTTGATCCCTCTTGTAACGGTCGGATCGTGTATCCGAAGGGCTTTATCATCTTTCCTCCGTACTGATAACAAACCGAAACTTCGGGAGGGAATATTACAAAATATCTTACATCCATAATGTAATATCGCCTTGCGTCTCATATACGACGCGCGCGTTTAATTATTCGCGCAGACGAAATTTCGTAGGATGTGTACAACTTCGCTAAAATGCAGCCGGTGGAGTTGCCAGACGACGGTTTCTGAGACAAATGTCGCGCTTCCTTGGGATTATATCGTTACGTTCGTTCGTTCTTTCGTTCGTTCGTCCATCCGTTCGTTTCTGGTAATCGTTTCTGGTAACCGCGTTTATTAATCCAGCAGCTGCGAGAAACGCAGCTAAATTATCAAAGCGAATAAGCCGAATGCATTATACAATATTCGCCGGTGCATATTTCACAATCTCATTTCCCCGAGAATACGCGTACTCGCGCGAGGAAGACGAACGGTACGTGCAGAAGCGCGGTCTGGGCGCGCCAAGTTTGCGTATAATTATGCAGCGAGTTCCTGGGTTACTAATTAATTCCATTAACTGTATCCTTTAAACATGACGAGAATTTTCTTCCTGACGGAAAATTTGGACGGCCAAACAAACGCGCCATCGCACTCAGGGCCCGCGCCGTTTTAATGCGCGCCGTTCCGCTTCACGAGCGGCGGAAAGTTAAATTCGCCCTCGAACGTTTCCACCTGCAGCGCGACACACCTGAAGCGTCCGCCCGATCGTCGCGGCGAGAGGGAAAACGTCTACCTTCCTCCCCGTCTTTCCGCTCGCGGGAATTATCGATCGCAATAAAACTTCGCGCGGATCGCGTTGCCTTCGCGCAGCCCTCTTCGCTAATCACGTCCCCCCTCCTCTCGATTCCAACAACGAACAGTTCGGAGAATTAATTTCTTATTAACCTGGGAATCGCAGGATAACTCTTAAGTGTGAAATTAAGGGACCGGGCGCCCACTCGTTTACGTTGAATTAACGTGATATCTCCTTTTGTAGATAAAATCGCAAGCCACGGGAGGCTTTCAAGCGTTCATCATCCACTACAGAGAGGATCCCGATCAGCAGAACCTTATCGACTGGATTCAGGAAGATTGGGTAAGTCGATTAGAATTCCTCCGAGTTGTTAGATGAGGTAGAAAATTCATTCGTTTCTTTGCAATTTATCGACGGGTGGAGGAGTAAATCAGGGGGGNGGGGGGAGGTGGGAGGGGGGGCGAGGTTCTCGATCTAACGCAGCGAACTCGGTGGATTAGTCGCGCCATCATTTCCTGCTTGCTGCGCGAACGTGGAGAAAAGAATTTCGGCCAAAGCCCGAAACGGAGGCGTCGGCCCTTAATTACGAGCGAGTCGTAGGTCTAATCGCTCGCCTCTCTCACTCGTACCGGGAAATTACCTAGAGAAACGCGAAATAAAATTCGCCGACGTTATTTCGCGGCAGCACCGCGATTCGCGCGAACCTTATCGAGCCGGCGATGCAGGAAAGTCCGGCGATCAGCTTTCTATCGTGCCCCTCGAAACGATGGCGCGCGATATGGCGCATCGCTCGGACAATCGATATCGGGTCATCCAATTGTGGTTTATGAGATTTCAATAGCACCGCCGCCGCGCGATACACTGCCGCAATTACGGTAATCCTATCGGTACTAGTAGCCAGTCGACGGTAAACCGCACGCGTCCTCTCTTTCTCTCCCTCTCTCTCTCTCTCTCTTTCTCTTTCGTCCGGAGCGCAGGCACGCGAGTTTTACCACTGGGCGGCAGATCCGCTCGCAAAATTTCGAGCTCGATCCGCCACGGTACTTCGCGAGACGCGCGACGGTGATTTACGTTCGACCGGATATCCGGCGAGAATCACGCGCGAATTCATTTAACCGACGCGCGGAATTAATAATGGATTTTAGTTTAACTAAAAAGCGGACTTCCCGCGCGCGAGCGAGGGAGGGGATCGATAAAGTCGGTCGTCGGAACACGCTGTAATAAGCCCCCGGGCTGCGCACAGTGCGTGTATAGCTTACGTATATCGGCGATGTGCGCGCGACAACGGATGTGTCGGATCCATCCATCGATCGATGGGGGGGGGGAGAGGGGGGAGAGGCACGCATAAATTATTGCGCACGCACCGGCCACTACATGCGGAAACATTTGCGAATTGATTCGGTTAATGTCTGAACGCGCGGCGGTCGGCCCCGGAGGCCGCTGATGAATCCGCGGATATCGAATTACCACCAGCGCGATTCCACCATCTCTCCGGACAATTGTCGCGTCGAGAGCTGCATCGCATAGAATCGCGTCGTCGAATGCGAACCCGTCTATCGTCGTGACAAGATGGTTAATATCGCTCGCGTTCTAATGAACTTGATCAAAAGGACATTAAACGGGCCGGCAATATCAGGCGTTTCTATCGGCGATTTTATTTTCCACGACGGCTCGGCGTCGGATGACCTTTTTAGTCCGCCGCTCGAAACAAGACCGCAAGATGTCGAAACTACGAAGAATTATGTCATCCACTCGACATATCTCAAGCCGGATGACATAATGAATGAATAAATAAATAAATAGTGAATAAACATAACGTCGTTCGTTAAGTTGTCTTACGTCCCGATTTTAAACGTTACGTCGCGTGGGAAGTATCAGGTGCATGAAAATGTGCTGAATTCAAATAAATGATTACTCCAATAATCCTCGGCGAATTTTTACTTAAACCAAGTAATGTTTATTTGGTGCGAGTGAAAATTTGCTAGGGAAAATTCGACTAATTATTTACTTGAATCTAGCACTCTTTTCCGTGCATACTCTTCATGGGCGGTGCTTCCTCAATTTTTATCAATTCACTTTTTACACGTGAAATATCCCACAATAGAGCTCGATCTGACGCGTATCCGTTGTTAATTAATTCACTGATTGACACGAACTAATTAAATTATTAAATTAATTAAATATAAATCTTCTGAATGAGTTAACTCGTATTCCCAATTAATGGGAGTGTCAAGTTAAGGAATAAATACGTTTTGAAGAATAGATACTTATCTTGGCTGGGAATGACTTCTAATTCGACCGATATCAGTGGGAGTCGTTTAAAATGAGCTCAACAATTCACGCAAACGCGACGGTTCTAGCTAGTTACCCCCCTATTCGGCCCGATCTATAGCTACCATTCGAGGGAACTATTCATCCGACGCGTTCCTAACTGTTTCGAGCGGTCTGTATCACACCTATTGTCCCCGCCGGCATCGATCGTCCGCTCGGAAACGCTCGGGCGGGGGAAAGAACGCGGAAAGTAGAAAATCGCGCGGTCGAGACGCGGTTTTCGTGGAGGTCCCTCCAGTTGCGAGGGATAAAATGAGCCGTCTCGTCGGGGAATTCGGAAAATACGAGAGCCGATTTTCCCGACGCGGCAACCGCACGGCGGGCAGTATCGTAGAGAACTCGTTAATCGACGGTCGGCCGGCCAATTGTGGTTTACGAGATTTCAATAGGGATGCCCGGTATGCCGGCGCAATTCCGGCAATCCTATCGGTCCCGGGAAAGCGCGCGCGCGCGGACTCGCTCGCTCGCCACCGAGAGTTCCCGAGGTATACACTGTATTGTCTGACCCCGTCGGGATTCACCGGGTACCATTTATAGGCGGTTAATGAAATGCTTAGTACTTCGACTTCGTGCGGTGCCACCGGAGCGTATTTACCATATCACTTATCAATTGGCTCGCTCGACTCGGAGCGGGCCGATCGATACAGAGGACGCACCAAAGGAGGACGTGTATGCGTGTAACCGGAAATATTCCATCTTAGCGACGGGTGTCCAGCTCAAAGAACGTCGGGAGCGTCACTTCGATCGTACAACCGGAGACTCGAGGCGTTTCGCGCGTACCGTTCGAAATGAAACATTCTCGGAGGTCTCGGACGTACGTTGACGGATCCTCGCGCGACTGAAATCGTCTCACGTGGATACTTTCAGGAAATTCTATCTTCGAAGGTATCGTGAATCGACCCTTCGATGAAGATTATTACGACTCGACGATTCCGTTTCCACGGCACACGCCCTCGGCATTAGGCGTCTTCACCTCGAATTCGAGATCCGATTCTTTGTGTCTTGAATCCTTCAGGTCGCGATTTAACGACGGAGAGCGAGAGCATTAACGAATTAAAAGTCGAGCTTCCGTTATCATTCGCGCGTTTCACTTGGAATTGTCGTCCGGAGGAATATTGCTTTAATTAGCCAATCGAGCGGCTTGTCGAATCGTACTGTGAAGTTGCCATTTGCCCGGAGAAATCGATCGGCGGAATCGGATGCCGGTCTTCTCTTGACTCGGCCTGTGCGAATATCGAGCGAATAATAATTAAATCCACCTACAATCGGAAACTCGTATCTCGTATCTCTATATACGACGTATTCGCATCTCGTATGAATATTCCGCATGCTCGTGTGCTCCGTATTATGAATATTTGATTGGAACGAATTGAAACGTTACCGCATGAATGATTGAAACAAAACGCGTCCGATGCTAAAAACAAATCAGATGGATTACGCAGCCGCAAGGATTCGCTTGATATTATATGTTTCGATATTCAGTTTCCGCCTTTCTCTCTCCCTCTTTCTCTCTTTCTCTCTCTCTCTCTCTTTCTCTCCCCCTCCCTCTTTCCCTCTCGACAAATCGACTTTGCGCCGATAACCGTTTCTTGCGCGATAAAGAGCCGCTTAATCGCGGCACGTGCGAGGCGACAAAAGAAGCGTTCTCGCGTGCAACCCCGCCATTATTAATAATTGAATTCGTGATGTTCCCTCTTATCGATTTTCTATTTTCAACTCCCCCTCCCCCTCCCAAACGAGAGAATTTAACACACCTCGTGCTCGACTAATTCATTTTTATGCCTCTTAATTAAATGTGGAATTTATACCGCGATCGGCCAAGCGGGAAAGCGGAAAAACGGCGGGATACTCCTGCGACGATGTTTAATCATTCGGGCGAAATCGCGAGACGCGTGTGCGCGTGTCGGCCGATGATTAAACGAGCGCGCATAACACATTAATTGGCGGTTCGCGCCGTATTATTTACTCACAAGCGATTCCTCCGGTTGAATTAGCGTTTGCAAGATCGCAGCCGGCCGATCGTCCCTTAAAAGCGACTATTAAGCGGATACGAAATGCCCTCCCCCTCCCGCTCAGTGTCCCAACCGTGACGCAGCCCGGCGTGAAATTAACGCGTTCAGCAGAGACGCGCTTTTACAACACGCCAGCGCATCGCTCCCGCCGTTTGCTGACCGGCGGGATTAGCGTTGAAAAAAATTGCCCAACTGACCACCATGCGGACACATACGGGTAACCGAGGAAGAAGGATAAAGGCGTCTCGGACCCGCAGGAGAGACAGATATTGGGGTTTAATGAAGGTCCCCGAGACTTGGATCACTGAGCGAGCATCGTCGCCGAGCGAATTCGATTCGCATCGTCTTTTTCTCTCTCTCTCTCTCTCTCTCTCTCTGTCTTTATTCCCTCATTCTCTCCTCCCTCGCCCCTTTAATACCATCCTCGAGCGCAGCGAGATTCCTTTTTCCACCCGCGTCGTTTTCCCTCCCGGTGTCTCTCCCCGGAGAAACGCTCGCTTCTTTCCTTCCACCTCCTTTCATTTTCTTCCCTCTTTTTTCTCCCTCCCCCTCGCCGTACCCCCCTCCCCCCGTTCCGTCTAAATCGCGTACTTAATATTGCACCGTCCCGCGCGGCGGCGTCGGTGGCAGAATTATTTATGACGACGCTTGAAATTCATATTCACCCGTGGCATTCATCGCGGATTCGACCGCGCTTCGGCTCGTATCGGCGCTCGCGTCGGCCCGCGCGAATAATGCAGAATATCCCGGCGATACGCCCGCGCGGTGTGATTCTTCGCCGACGGACGATATCCCCGTTTCGCGAGCGACGGTTAACACCGGGAAATCCTCGGCGGAAAACCGCGGCCGGTGGTATCCCGGCGCCTCCGTATGCGTTATTATTATTATTATTATTACGTATGGACTCGCGAGTGGAGGAGTCGAGGTTTGAACGAGGAAACAAAGGGAATTTATTTCTCGGACGATCCCCTGAAAATCAGGGCGCGATCATTGTCGCGCATCCGCGCGGATAATTAATTGTTTCCGTCGATTTGGAGAGAGTCGAGGAGGAGAACGCGAGAATAATCGCGAGAAAACGAAACGAGCCGGGCGTAAATTACCGCTGCCTTGTCGATAAATGGATTATCGTGTTAATAACAATCGGCTCTCTGTATAATAAACCGCGAAATACGGGGAGTAACAACGTTAATCACTGGCGTACACACGCGCAGCTCCCGATATGAATTTTTAATCCTAACGGAGTCCGTCTGTTCAGTTCACCTCGGAGTGCTCTTAACGAGCTCGAACGAACAATTGCGCGTTTGAATATGATTTTAATTAAACATTTGTCGTTTTATCTTGCGAATATGAACTATGTAGGGGAGGGGGGAGGATTGAGTGTTTCGTCAGAAAGTTAAATTAGTCGGTCGGAATATAAATGCGTACGAGCCGGCGATTTTTGTTATTATTTCGCTAACAACCTCGATCTCTCACGCGCAACAACGCCAATTAAATAACACGGATGCGTATCTCTTCCTCTTTCAGTTGCAGTGTTGCGGCGTCGAGGGCCCGAAGGATTGGGACCGCAACAATTATTTCAATTGTTCGTCGAGCGACATCGGCTCGAGGGAAGCGTGCGGCGTGCCTTTTAGCTGTTGCAAGCGGAAACATAATGTAACTCTCACATTGATCGATAGTCGCAATCGCGGCGAATGTTTCCCCGGTTCACGGGCCTTTCACGCACCGTCGAGAGTTAAGCAGTCTTCTTATTTGTTTCAGGAAATCATTAAGAATAAACAATGCGGCTACGATGTTAGGAAGCCTAGTTACGTGAGTAACCGATATCACCCACTTTCACGTAATATTAATGCGCGAGACGCGTCCCCGCGTGGGAGTGATTCGTACTCTATTTTCCGCGCGCGTATTATGAGCAACGATTAGCGCGAGCGTATTAATCGAGAACCCGACACTTGCACGGGGATTACAAATGTCGCTCATTTCACAATGCGACAACGATAGCTGCCCTCTCGTAGAACTCGTTGTTTTTACCCTCCACGCTCACTCACTCACTCGCGCACACACACTCTCACACGTCATACGTACCGGCAACGACACCCTAATATCCCCGGCGCCGTTTCTAGTTCCGCCTTGTTTCTGATTCGGAACTTGCGTCATTTCGCGCCGTCGCGTCGTTACGGAGGTCCCATCGGTAAACCGAGAGCGTGCCCCGCGCACAGAAGCCGCATAATTTGTCTTTGGAATCGCGCTGTGTATCGCGTTATAGTCCAGATTCGAGATAGCGAGGGTAGTTCTCGCGGGTACGCGCGCGCGCGCGCGCCCGATTACACAATGTCTACGCGGGAGGTGGGGGGCAAAAACGATCCGGGTCAAGAAACCGTGGAACTTAATTAGAGAGAAAATGGTCGAGTCCGGGAGGGGAGGGTTGGTCGGTCGGGGAACGAGGGGGAGGAGGAGGAGGGATAAGAACTTCTGTGCCGGCTCCTATTTTAAGAGTAGATATATCATTCCCGGTGTAATGGGGCTGAAACCCCCCCCCCTCCCGGGCTAATTACGTTTTCACCGTGAAGCTCTCCGCCATCGCTTAATTATAGTTTTCGTCGGACGACCGTTAATGCGCCGCGATATACGTTACGAGCCGACGAAACGCCGATAAAGCGGATAAATAACGACAAAGGACTCCTTCCCGCGAGATATTAAAGCGGCTACTGGTATTATTACACGATGATATTGCGCGCATACCACTCGCCACGTACGAATCACAGTTTGTAGCGCGAAAAACGGGATTCGGAAAAGAGATATCGCGCGGCCCGACTGACTCGGATAAGTAAAAATCATTCCGATCGGGGTAGAAGCTCAGATTCCGCGAAAGTTCACCAACGTTCATCCACGACCACCGCTCGTTACAGAGCACTCGTATGAAGCAGCGCTTGGTGAGCAACAGCGAGCATCGCGAACACCTTGTTACGTTTCTCTCATTTCCCCCCCTCCCCTGTAATTCGGACCGCTAAGTTACGCTCGCACGCCGGATAAAGTTAAATCTTCCTCCTTGCGGGGAATCTCGCGGGTGATCTCGCGGGGGATAACGGAGCGCAGGAGTCTATCCTCGCGCGAGGGTCGGTCGCGATTAAAAAGAAGACGTTTTCACAGCTCTCCGTCGTTTTGTTTTTCCATTTTCCTCGTACTTCTCGTCGAGAAACACACAAACTGTCGTCGTGGCCGTCGTCCCGCCCACGCGATAGCTCGCCGTCGCGTTATCGGCGCAGCCGCGACGATGAGGACGACGACGACAACGAGTAATTGTTCGTGAGCCTTCGAGCCGGTCGAAGACGAGTCGTGTATGTCGCGTGTATGTGTATATGTACGGCTGCTTTTTAAATCGTTTCTATTTACGGCCCCGGGCCAACACGCAGACGGGCGAGAGGAGTATATTCGAGCGGGGTTGCCTGAGAGCGGGCGAGGAGTGGCTAGAATTGAACCTCGTGCCCGTTGCTGGCGCTGTGGTCAGCACTATGGTTCTGCAGGTATTCTTCCCTCCCCCCCCCCTTCCCGCCTCCCTAACCTCCGCGTCCAGTCCCCCGTGAAAAACTATCGGCCGGCAAGCTGGGAAGCCGAAACTTTCTCCGCTCTCTGATCGGGCAGCGCGAATCCGCGCGGCGCGTCGGTCGATCGCTCCTTCCGCGGAAATACATCACTCGGGGATAATTGAGAGGCCATTGAGCGATTTTGCAGATCGAGTTGTCGAAACGCGAGTGAAAGGTCCGTTCGCACGTCAATCAAGGGGGGGGGGGTAATTGTGTACCTCAAAACGTAGCGGGAATTGCAAAAGTGCACGGGAAAAAAAGGATCAGCTTGTACAGCCGAAAACTAGCTCCCAAAGTGAAAAATTAGCTATCCATGTAATATACGACTGAAAGTTAGTTACCAAACTTAGTTTTCAGCTGTGGAAGCTAATTTTTATGACTATGTTCCCGTACACCACAAATGTTCAAGAGACATTCTAGGAATGTCGTAGAAATATTCGAATATTCGTGGGAACTTTTGGAAAACATTGGGCAGAATGAATGGAATCTGTCCAGGCTTCCCATTTAGAATCGCAACTTTATTTAGTTGATTAATCGGAATCCCAATTAAGCTTTATAAAATTTTCTATATAGAAAAAGATTTTATTTTCCCTGCTCAACATTTTCAACCAAGTTTTCTTCTTTCAGGTTTTTCTATTTTATGTGCTTGTATTGAATAAAATATCTGAAAAAATTTTAATATTCTTGCGCTTTTTACGAATATATAAATGCTTTAAAAGTATAATTTCTCAAGCTAGCCACGATCTCTGGCATTTGGAAACTTTGTAATAATAAATGAAACTATTTTTATTTCCCCATACTTAGAAAATGTATCTTTTTTATCTTCTTGTCTTCTTTGTTGGTCCTGACTGAGATGAAAATTTCTCAGACATCTAAGTATAGCATAGATTCTGATCAGATTATCCAAACTTATCCGAAATAAATTTAACATTGCGATATCAATTAAGAATCTCATTCTTATCCCAATTATAAAACAATTTTAGGAAAACGTTAGACAGAGCAAATGAAATTTGTCTGAGTTTCCCATTTAGAATCGCACTTTTGAAATATGTCTAATCTGAATCTTCATAGATTTCCCAATCAGAATCCATGATTTTCCAAGAAATCGGAATAGATTCCCATCAGAAAATATTAATATTATATATTATATATCGGAATCCCAATTAAGTCCCATAAAATTTTTTACGCGGGTAGGTCTGATAACTAAATTTCAGTCGTATTATATGAATAGTTAGTTATTAGCTCTAAGAACTTATACTTTTTTACCGTGTGAACGAATTCACTAGAATATTTATAATTTCATCGGTCGCCTGGCGAATTTGCTCAAATTTGTAATTCTCACAACGTTTTGAGATGCGCAATCGATCCTCAAGGCATGAGCGATCTAATGCCGTGCACAAAAGTTTACCGGCGTTCGTTGCACCCGACTTGTGACAATGGCGAAAGCGCGTTTCCGCCCGCCGATAATCAGCGCGCTATTACGCATCGCGACTTCGCCGGCCGCGTTTCGTCTTGTTCACCTTTCCTTGGAGCGCACGTGTGAATATTCCGAGCGCGCTCTCGACGTAGCTCGCCGATCGATTCGCTCTTACGCCAATGTGACGACGACGATGACGACAATACTGGGGGTATAAAGACCGGAAAGAGTAAACTTCGGCAAGAAAGGCCGGGCGGACAGAGAGCGATCGACCAAGCGATGCAAAACGGTTTTACCCGCAAAGCCTTAATTCCATTAAGCGATGCTCAAGTGCGCACGCGCGTGTTACGTCGCGACGATGACATAACCGGCTCTAAATGCTCCGCGAAAAATTCAAGTCGAGGAAGTCGGAGATTCCCAGCTTCTCGGTACGCCTCAGGTAGTAGGCGACGCAGTCGCAGCAGTCTGCAAACGTGGTCGCATGTATATTTAATCTAGACGTCGCAAAGTGTCCTACGTCTTGAAACCACCGGATGTCCTCTTAATCGCGGATTCTTCGGAGAAGATGATGCATCCGAAGACGAGTTCGGGAGCGAGAATGTCGTTGCAGAGAAAACGTCTCGTCTCTCTTGACCGCCGGTAGTTTCGGGACGTTCCATGTATAAATTCGATACAATCGTTTTGTTTCTCGTTCTATCTATGCCGTATCGCTCGATGAGAGGTATGCTCGTCTCTCTCACTATCATACATATATATATATATATAGAGAGAGAAACGTCACGAATGCGGTTATGCGCGTCCCGCCGTTTATGTGGGTCGCACGACAAGTAAGTACCAACGAATGCGTAACGCGTATTCTCGGCGATGCGTTTCGTACACAATACACGACGACTGCGAGACGATCGATAAATAGGTAAGTATGTACACGTATATAGATAGAGCTTTTAAACAAAGGAGAAAAAGAGACATCACGCGTACTTACAATACGCGACGTTATACATGGAGCAACGTGGAAGCGCAACGATCCGGAAGAATGTTGTGTTCTGCATAACGAAACGCGAAAATACGTCTCGTATCGCTATTGATTTATTTACATGCACTCTCTCTCTCTCTCTCTCTCTCTCTCTGCATTGTATCCGCGGAAATTTAATATCATATTCAATTGCGCGTGCGTCGATGTCGGCTTCGCAAAAATTGGATGTATCGAACAGCGATACGCGCTAATTTCGACGTATCCGCCGCGAGATACTCGCGACAAAAATTTTCGGTGGACAGTTTGAAATGTTCGAACATTTATACTTGACGTTATTTTATATCACACAAGATTTGGCTAACACGATCCGTGCAATTGACGATAAAAATTCAGAAACAGAATTCCGTTCGTGTGCGGAAATTTTCAGAATTATCGTTAATCGCGCATCACACACACACACGATAATTTTATTCGCGACAGCCGCGCCGTTTATTCTCCGCTTCTTTTCCCTTCTCCCTCCATCCCCCCGCGCAGTTAGACACATTATACACTTTAATGAAGATGAGAGTGTAAGTCATAAGCGCGTGCGCAACGCGCAAGTATTGTATAAAAGCCCTTATACGAACGTAGCACGCGATGCAATAATACGAGTTTTTCCTGTCTCGTAATCAGTGCGCTAAATTACTGCCAGCTCGCTGCATAATCCTGACGGCCGGGCGATTATACTTCCTTCCTCCGATGCGCATAACGAACGTCCGAAGAACCAGTTTGCGCGTTATAAACGCGAACCTTTGTCACCCCCATTCACTCCTTCTTCTCTTTCTCTTGCAACGTGCTTTTCTATTAATTCCACGGTAATTATTCAAATTTCAGTTTTGCGGCTGACGAGTTTTACTGTTATTTCGACGACGCTCGCGTCCAATTACACGCGACAAAATTGCGTATCGTTGACATATCGGCCTGCGAGCCGGCGTGCATTAATATTACATTAATTGACACGTTTAATCGAAAATTATCGGGAAATTTATAATTAAATTTGCAATTGAATTGCGATTACCGTCACCGTCGGCGCGTCAATATGTATCTACGAAATTAACTGACGACTCCCTCTCTCTTTCTCTCTGGCAAATCGATTCGCCGATTTCGGAAAAAGTAGACCTACGTATTCTCCATCAACTCTCGAACTCGCACCGTCGCGAATGAACTTTCCCGTGGACGACTCCACGTGGACGTTGGATATATATATATGTTCCAGAATTCACGTTCGATTCTTTCGCGGTGTGTATTATCGCCGGGTATACTTGGTATCGCGGCCATAAGGTAACATCGCTAGCGCGCGATTACGCGACGACGGAATTACGAGCCGGCCTAACCGGCCGAGGAGGCGCGGAATCATATTACGCTAAAATCACGGGATTATACTATCGCGCTAGAGCCCGGGATTATGCCGCCGCTATAATCGCGCGCTTATCTATGCTAGCGCGCGATTGTACCGTGCTAGAATTGCGATGCTATCTATGCTAATACGGTAGATTATAGTGCGCTAAAATAGGGAGGCTGCCATCGCCGCGCGCTGTCCGACGATGCCCGAAAAAAATAGGAAAATAAAAAAAGGAGGAAAAAAAGAGAAGGAGAGAGAGAGCTCTTGGTGGAGATAGGCTCCCACCTTAGGAGGAGACCCGGTGCGATCGGCGAGTCCGCGGTAATTTTGATAAGATTTCGATAAGAGCGGAGGCGCGCAGCGACGTAAGCGTATCAGAAACCGATAATTCCGGACGATATTCTCCGCTTTCCGCTTCGCGCCGAGCGTCGCAGCGAGCTGAACGCACGCGTAAAAGTGGAAGCGGGGGGGGGGAGGGGGGAGGAGACCGCGATAGGACGCGCATCGGATCGGAAATCCACGGTGAATCCCTGAATCTAAGACACGCTCGGTCTTTCGCGCCGGACTTTTCCCGTCGTTCGATTAATCTTTCCTCCTCTCGGCGCGCCGAAGGGAATTCTTGCCACGCGCGAAACTCGCGTCCCGACGGAGTCTCAATTAATCGCGCTTAACCGAAGTCACGTTGCGTACACACGGCGGACCCTCGGTTCTTCCATTCTCCCGCCTCGAATCCTTTACCCTCAAGAGTCCCGCCCGAAACCGTCGTCGGCCGCTTCACCATATTAGCGCAACGTCGAACAGCCCGGAATAAATTAACAGAGTTTCCCGCGCGCGGAATCCTTCGACGAGAAGGAGGAGGAGGAGGAAGAGGGACGAGGGGGAACCGGCTCGCACCACCGGGGCGAAAACTCTTAAGTAATTAGAGCGTCTAACGCCCCGCTAATGAGGGACTCGAACAATATCGCCGCATATCGCGAGACGAAAAGGGGCAAGGCAGAAAGAAGGGAGAGAGATAGAGAGAGAGATAGAAAGAGAGAGAGAGAGAGAGAGAGAGAAAGAAAGGGAGGAAATCGAGGTCGGAAAAGTCGAGTCGGACGGTCGGAGGAGGAATAAGGTGCAAATGAAGTAGCCGGCACCGGGAGCCCAGCGTACTTACTTTAGAGGCTTCTTCAGGGTAAACGCGCGAGGCACGGCGTAACAGAGTGGGCTTGTTACTCAGACCTCCTGTAGCCCTCGACCTCCCGCCGCCCATCCTCAAGTAACATCCCACACGTGTCCCCCCTTCCGTTTCCCTTACCGCTGTACCCGTATATCTCCCTGGGCACGTACGTGCCCCCCCCTCCTCGTCCCTCGTTCCCTCCGGTTTCCAGCGGTTCCCTTCGGTCGAAGTTTTCGTTCCTTCCTCTGGATCCCCGTTTTACGATCCGCCGCTCGAGAGATCCGTTCCTCCCCTCGCGCGAGAGCTCCGTCCCCATAAATTAGGTCGCTACCTTTATATGAGTGGAAATTGAAGTTACCGGCCGGAGAGAGAATCTCCCCCGCTTGGAGATTCAAGCGGCGGAATTTACCGTTCGGCTCGAGAATAGCCAAGAGAGAGAGAGAGAGAGAGAGAGAAAACCGGATGATATAGTTTCCTCGCGAACGTCACTCTCGTGATGTACGAAACATCTCGCATTTCTCTCTCTCTTTCTCGTTTCGCCCACGTGATGCGATGGAATCGCGGAGAACGGAAACGTCGCGATCGAACGAGGCGCGTTATTGAGTTTTCACTTAACGGAGCGAAGAGCGACGGCGGCGCGGAGTCGGTCGGATGTAAAGGCGAAGATGGTCCCGACCTTCCGGACGTCCTTCGTTCGCAACCTCTCGCGAGACGGCCAGACAGACGGTTTATCGCAACGTCCGACGACGGACGGAAGCTCGCGTTTCGAAAGACGCTTCTTCGGAAGCGGAGGGCTGACTCGTCGCGCTGATGTCGCAATGTGACGAATGCCCGTTTGCCTTCTTGTCGCGTTTCTCTTTTATCGTGGAAGCACGACGAGCGAGGTTGTCGTAACGAGATACCGCGAACGGCGCGTGCTCGCCGAAAGATTATTAAGTCCCGATTATTGCGGCAACGGAACGAATTGCGACACGCGCGAGAGCGCGCGTTAAAGTAGCAGCAGCCGATTGACGCGCGATCGACGGTAAAAACGGCGCGGGGTTACATAAATGGACGAGCCCGGCGCGCGCGCGCTGTTAGATCTCCTTTCACTTTCTCCACTCGGGGAAGCCTTTGTGGGACTAAACCAGCCGCTAAATCGTCGTCGAATTGAATCCCGGACTAAACGAGAGACCCTGATTGTAATCGCGTATCGCGAAGGGGTGGTACGCCACGGGTAAGCCGAGTAGCCAGCCGTCTCCTTTCTTTTTTCAGAACTTTGAGGTCGCCAAAGTGATTTACGAAAAAGGTTGCATACAGGCCGGCGAGGAGTGGATGGAGCGAAATCTCCTTGCGATTGCCAGCGGCGCGGTCGGTACGGCGTTTGCTCAGGTACATGTCGGTGAGAGATGCATTAGTGTGTAAGTATAAGGAAAGGCCTTCAGCGCGCATCGAAAGACCCTCGACGAGTGCCGCGGAAATCCAGCAAAGCGACTAACACTTTGAATCCGTCGCGTCTAATGCTCGACTAAATGATACACGGTTCACCGAGCTCGTGAAGAGTCGTCGAGACGGAGATCTCTCGCTGCCGGGGGAACTTGAAGAAAACCTAAACTGGATGAAAACGTACGAATGTACAAAATGGCACGCCAGAGATCTTCTCCTCGTCGTCGAAGATTTCGGAAAATTTTTCAACCGAGTAGCAAGAACGCCCGCGGAGAGACCGGTTCAAGCGCGTCGCAAGGGAATCTCTCGTGGAAAATTCCCGAGAGGGATTCTGTCCCGAGATTTAAATAGCCCGCGCCGCGTTTTACGCGCGTTCGGTAATTGCGGTCCTCTTAAAATTCGACTCGGTAACTCGGGAGTAAGGAAACTCGGAGTGTCGGCGCGACTTGTTTTAATTTTCAATCTGCGATTCAGATGTATTCCGCCGCGACGCGCTTGACTAAGATTACCGTCATCGATTCAAAGTGTTAAAATGAGATTTTAGCGCGTTTCTCGTAATGCATTCGTCGATGCGGGACCGTTGCAGCGGGAACGTTATAGAGGAACGTTGCATGCCCCCGAGGAAATAAGGTGAGAGAGAGAGAGAGAGAGAGAGTCTCCAGCCTGCTCTAGCAACGTTGACTGTTACTTCGTTCATAGCGTACGGGGTTACAACACGCGGGAAGACGTAAAGTAGATGTGAGATACATTGTAATATACGTAGCGCGGGGCGATGCGAATGCGTTTATCAGTGTAATATATTGAACCCTCTGAATTTCATTAAAGGATTCTAAATTAAAGCTTATTTACGACGCAAATCTCTTCTCCCCGTGCCGTACTGTGTATGTGTGCCACGTAGTAGATGCGAAGAAGGCATGTTGATATTGTTCGTTATGTCTATCTTACGGTAGATCTTATTAACTGCATCTATTAATTGCATCTCGGTGTGATGGACGATCTAATTATTCGAGTATCCAATATATATATATATATATAGGCTAATAGATTATACACGTGTCTAATTACACGGGTTTATGTACATATATGATATATAATTATTCAGAGTTACGAACGTCTTATTCTAGCGTGCGTAATTGTATATTGACTCAACGCATGAGTAATGAGACCGCCAAGTAACGCAAGACAAAGAGGTGTAAATTGAAACTCGCTTGTTCCCAATTGCATCAGTCCCTCGATGTGTACTCAACTACCTTTTTGTGTTAATCCCTGTAGCTATGAAGTATCACACTCCTCGTATTTTCACAGGCTTCGCGTGCCGTGTCCATTCTTATTCACGACTCGGTTATATCAAATACGATCTTGAACGTAAACTCGAAATGGAGGGTGCGGATGCGGAGAAAAAAATTCGTTCAATTATTCCGCGCGCGCTTGCAAATCGAAGAAGTATAAAACACTCTCTCGACGCGGCGGCGAGAAAGAATTACGAGCTCGATCGCGGAGAAGAAGAAAAAGAAAGAAACACGCACAAAGTGTAGGAATGTTCTGTGAAAATACGACGATTTCCATTTGCCAGCCTGTCGCGGCCGATTCGCGGTGAAAATAATCGGATCCTTCTGTCGCTTCTTTTTTCAGATTCTGGGGATCTGCTTCGCGCAGAACCTGCGCGCGGACATATTCGCGCAAAAGGCGAAGTGGCATTGACAATCGCGAGCCCCCACGGCAGTGTAGCATCTTGTCTTCATAGATGCTAACCGGCTGCGTTGATCGAGTTTACGAGGTCTCGACGCGGAGAGCTTCTCACCCGGCGAGCGGATCGCATAGGATCCTCCTGGACGGCGGGGCAGGAGAGGGTCGCGAAGGATCTTCCTCGCGGCCCGACCGAGGCTAACGACGTTAAACGACCGGATGCCGATGCGCCCCGTTATCCTCCGCAATCCGCCGATAACAACGCTGCGTTCGCGTCGCGCGATCTCGAATCCCCTCGGCTTGCAAATTCGCCCGCGAGCCGCCCGACGAATCCCGCGCCACGACCGTCGTCCTGTTCTCCTACGGTACCGTCCAATCGATTAACGCCCGATTCGCCGGATAATGAGAGAAATTGACTGTTCTCGGAGAGTTCATTGTCGCGCGTCGTGCAATTAATATCGGTTTCGCGAGGACGGAGGGATCGCTTTCTCAAAGCGAACCAGAGAGCGATGGAAGAATGTGTTTTGCCCGTGCGTTTTGCACTTATATCGCAGCGTAATTAATTATTTTGCACAAGTGTTGGATCGTCAATCATTGGGAATGGACGAATCGATCGGACGTGCAGTTTCAATTCGGATTTGCAATCGGGGAGGTTCGGGGGAGCAGGAAGGAAACTCGTTCCGTCGTGCGCGCATCTTTCTTTCTTTTTTACAAATTAAATTAAAGTCAATTTCTCTCGTTATCAGACGATGTCGACGAGGGGAGGCCGGTCGTCGCGCGACGTGAGCGTCGGGCAGCGAGGTTTTTCGACGGAGAGTGTCGCAGTATATCGTCACGGAGCATCCGATGTAACGTTTGTCTTCATCACCGGAACGGAACGTCTCGATGTTTCATCCGGGCGTTGCCCCGTCTGCGAAACGTATTTGCTTCATCACGAAAAATCGAAATTTCGCGTTTCCTCCCCATCTTTTCCTCCCCTCTTCCTCTCTTCCCCTTCTTTTCTCTTTCTCTTTCTTTCAAGAGAATCGCGAAACACAGAGTAATTCGCTGCCAAACGACCGTCCCGAGTTCTCCGGATGGATTATTCAAGCTATCGAGTATCAAATATCATGTAGAAAGGTAGAACGGAGTATATTTTTCATTAGCACTCCCGATAATGAGATTCTCCGCTTTGAAACTGCCAATTTGAAGCCGCGAGTCTTGCCCAACGAGAGAACGACGGGATTAATTGGGCGATTCTACCGTATAAAGTGGATATTCCCGAATCGGAACGCGACTCGTGCCAGAGCCCGGTGCAATTCCGGTTTTGAAACCGACGACGAGTCAACGAGAGCGATCACGAGTGACACTCAAAACGGCACTCTCGAATACTCCACGGAGAATCGATACACCCAGGGAAACAGCAGAGGTCTCATCCGCGTTACCCGCTGCTCGCGGATTCGATCCTCCTCGAGACGCCACAGAGGATGCCGATCGCACGTTCGGCGTCCGCTTTCGTCCCTAATCGCAGTTAATCACACTTTCATTTCCCCGACTGTAACGCTATTAATCGAGCACGATACGCGAAGCAGCGTCACTTCGAACGTGTTTCACGTACGCGGCCTCACCTCGATTAATCTCACCCCCTCATTCGGCCACCACCGACGAAACACCGCACAATTTATTCTCATTATTTCCTCCTCCCTCGTAATCTCGAATTATCGTGATATCGTTCGAATACGTTTCGTGATGGAAAGACGAACGCGATCCTCCGCCGAGTTAGCGAGCGCGATTGCGTAGATCGGGATCGTCATTAAGAGTCGATCAACGACATGTCGTCGTCGTGGGGGCGCGGTGAACGATCGGTTTCACCGCCGAACAAAACGAAGCAACCAACTCATCGCCGTGACTGAGAACGGCAGCCATACGACACGCGAGTATACAATAAACTTTCCCTTGCTCCAATCGGCCGTTAAAACGGTGGTCATGGCTCGTGCCACTTTGGCCATATTGATCCCCCGTTGTACGCACACACACATACACACACACACGCCCACACATGTGCGCAACACACTTACACGGTATCCCGGCATGTTCTCCATCCCTCCATCGGCGGACCAGGTGTCCGTCGTACACACCGTGTCTACACAGCACGTGTATCGAAGAGTACGTCGGAAAGAGGCGCCCTTCGACCCTTCGAGTGCGTATCGATTCACTTGACGGAAACAACACTCGTCAATGATAACAGAGCGGAGAATCCGCGACGGTCCGTCGCCGAAGGGTCGATGGGAAACGCGTTGTGCAAATTCGAGAGGGTGATTCACCGCGCGCGCTTCCATGCACGTTGCGGGTAGACGCGGTCGGCACAGCGCGTGCTAACTAAACTTGGGCTGTTAATATTTATAAATCTTACGCGCCGGTTCCGCGACGGTTCCGCGTGTTTATTCATGCTCGAACTCGACAACAACGCGCGGAACAAGTTTTCGCTGAAAGTCGCGCCGGGGAAATATCGAAATCCCTCTCTGGTTTCCGTGCGTCGCCCCGCAGCCGAGGCACGCACATTTCGCCGGGAAATGTTTGCAATCGGGTTGGCGAAACAAATCGTGAGCGTGTTTCTTTTTTATACGCGCTGGCCCGCGTGTTTGATGCTGATATTTCCTCGAAGCACCGATATTCGGGAATACGAAGTATATATACATAAATTTCGGGGTGACTTTTTTTAGAACGCTATTCAAATGCCGTCTCACATGTTTATTCGTGTACGCCGCGAATTCGAGCATGTTATTTTAACCGAGGCTTTTCTTGAACATTTCTTGCCGTTTCAAATCGCGTCACGTAACACGATTGGACGTTTATGCGTGTAAAAATAACACACTTGGATTTACAGTGTATAAGTAAAAGGGAAAAGCACAATTGCGAAAATTCTAAGCGCGCATCCGGAAGTACGAGCACGCGATTCCTAAAATCGATGTAGAACGCACGACTTTCCGCGTTTTCAAAAATGAAGACGAAGGATAAAGACGATCGTATCGCATGCCGCTTTCCGGAGCGTAATTTCTCAATTTTCAAGCTGAAAATACGTCCTTCGGAAGACGCCTCTGGTGTCGAAATGCGCTTCCGAGCGCCGCAAGCCGCAGATGCGCTCTCAATACGGTCGATCCACGCGCGGATCGATCGCACGATATAACCTGTTGCTAAGCGATTCGAGCATGAATGCAAAATACGTCATACAGACACGTTCCGAATGTCGCTCCTCACTCGAGACACGTTTAACACGGGATTTCCTGTAAATTTCGTTTCGCGTTACGATAGATAGTCGAATACATTGATGTAATTAACGAGATTATCCGTCGCGGGCGAACGCCCGTTGCTCGTCGTTTCTACCGTGCCGAATAGCCGTTCGTTCGACGTTTCGCTGTACGAATTTATCGTCTCCCGATCCACCCGAGGAAAACATCGGTTTTCGCAAGTTCCACCACGTCGATTCGTTGTGATGATGCGTCGTTTAGTCATGCTTCGTTGCTATGCGAAGGGTTAAGTTAACCGACCACTGTATTCCGCACGAGCCGTTTTGTAACGCGTACACGGAAGCGGGTTTAGTGAAGACTGAGCTGCCACGCTGAGGGAAAGAAAAAGAACGGACGATAATATTCCTATGTCGTAAGAATTATTTTTCATCAAGGTCGTCGGACATTTACTTTCGAGGTATTTCGCGCAGTTCGAAACTCGTTATTGATATCTCAATCGTAAAAAAAAATGGTAAAGAGCCGAGACGTCACATGACACACGTCTAGACGCCATCCAACACGAACGTCGCTGAAGTAATTTGCTAAACCCGATACTTCTGACCCGTACATCGTCCTCGTATTAACTCAAGTTGTCCACCTGATCCGATATCCTCCCCCGAGATGATCGTAGTCTCGTCAAAGAATATACGGATCACGTGACAGGTATTAAAGCAATTCGCTTGAAGGGTATATATATATATACATATATATATATATATATTTAGTGTTATACACGTTAAGTTAATTAGTTAGACCGTTAACTCGTTTTATATGTCTTCGCGAGATCATCTGATCGATTTCTCGTGTCTGCGTAATTTTACTCAAACGACGGACAAAGACGACTCCGGTCGTCGCGTTTCTTCTTCGTTACGTCAAGCCACATAATTATGCCAGCGATTTTGCCGTTCTCATCGCGTACGATTCGCCGTCACACTTCCACTAATCTCGCGAATGTCGAAAAAAATGTAAGTCGCATTCGTCTTTGGATGTGCGATGTGCGTTTTGGTACACGCCACGTATTATTTTTCATTTTATTAAGTTTCTGTCGTAATAAAGATACGATTTGCATATTTCTGTTTCCGTTGTTCTTATTTTTCTCTTATTTTCTCTCACGAATCTCATCAATTCGATCCATTTTATTTCGTCGCTCGCTCATAATTTCCGTCACGTCATTTCAGTTCACGCTCTTATTAATACACTTGTTAATATATAATGTATACTACATATTTTTACACTCTGAACGCACGTTTCTCTTATAAGTTTCACGCAAATTCAGACTTTCGATATGTCGGATATCAGAGACGAAAACAATTATTCATGATTCCGCCGATTCTGACATCTAAGATACCGTTCCTTACAATACGAATGATAGCGCACCCCAATGTAGCGAACTTGAATATTACCTAAATGTTAAGTAATTGATACAATCATCTTCGTAAAAAAGACAATTGGTAGCGATCCAACGATCCATTGAAGCCATGAGATAAGCAGAACGATAATCGATAATTTACATCTTACTATTCGATCCGTCTACGCGTCTATGTTCCGCGGCCGATTACAATGTGACATCCCATCTTTTCAAATTCCTGTAAATACTGTACATTTACTTGTAAAAAAGGGAAAAGGGAAAACTAAGAGATATAGTCTACTCGCTTGACCAACACCGTTATGGTGAACAAAGACGATGTAACATAAGGTTTTCCTCTCTCTCTCTCTCTCTCTCTGTAGAATACAAAAGATCGGGATTCTCTGTCCGACCAGCATTTTCCGAATCTTGTAAATATATAACAGCGCGATAAATACGATCGCATCGTGATAATCGAGATAATTCTATTGTCGTGCCAAAAATAAAAGAAAAAAAAAAAGAAACGTGCAGTCAAATCGGATATACCATTAGCGATTAACCACATTGAGACGGTAATTAAAAATATACAATGAGCTATTCTCTTGAAACGATCTTAAATTCATATAAGAAAATATATTGAAATATTATACGCTACCGTTCATTCCAATGCAAGCGTCGAGTTCAACGAGCGGATCACGAAAGGCGATTGTAAATTGTAGAGAGACGAAAAGTTTTCATTGATGCAAACAAATGCACGATGTTTCGTTTCTGACGAAAATTAAAGAGACGTATCACGGAAAACGGAGAAGAGCGAACACGCAGCCATAAACCGAAGAAGTTACGAAGATGTATTAGGAGCAATGGACGGTGGTGTATGTCACGAAGTTTCGTTCGTAGCTTTGTAATTTCTGTTGTTTTTAATATGGAGTTAAGAAGATTCGCAAGCAAGTATGTCGTACGACCTGAATACTCGATGTACAAGTTGCTTTCGTTCTCAAAGTTGTGTCGGGATAACATGAAAAATTACACTAATTCGCGTGACTCCCGGCCGCTATTTAACGGTACTGCACCTTTACTCGTGTTTTATACGAAAATTCGTGTACAGTACACGCTGTGTGTTCCGCTAATGTACACCTAATGTAAATAAGAGCGAACCACGTCCGAGTGTCTAATTGTCCAGACAAAAGTCGATGTTCTCACTGTCTCAATGATACTTTTTTCCACTTTGTTCGACCGTAGCGAAAGAGTCGAATCGGAAACTCTTCGTTCACTCGGGGGGCCGATCGCGAAATCGCGACGAAGCTTTCTCTCTCTTCGTGCCACTAAAATGCGTTCAATCTTGTTCCGAAGGATCGCGGGAATCTTTCGAGTCCGTTAAAACCGTACCAAGAAATGGAAAAGACGGTGTATACATGTACCGTATGTCGAGTTCGTATTAGTTAATCGCGATTTACGTACTGCCTGTGTCTTACGATGGTCTCAATTCAGCGATTACGACGATTGTTGTACGACTCGGTCGGTCGCGATTTCGAATCGTCTGCAAAATAATCACGACGACACTGCCATTGTGGTGCGTTTGGGCCTTTTGATAATTTTGCGGTTTATTGCGTCGGTACGACTACGTATACATATGTAATATAGGTAAATAGCACTCGCGTACTCCTAAGTGTAATCATTGTAATTGAACTCATGTAAATACAGCCACATACTTTTCTTGTAACGGCTAAAAGATTACTGTAATGTTTTTATGGACAAAAAAAAAAGTGAATATTTATACCCGTCAACGTGTAAGTCAATAAAGATCACGATAATTGATACCTTCGCACAATTTCGTGGAAGACATTTACGATTGTTTGCATAACTTCTATATAAATTGCCGTCATTTAGTCAGATCTTTAACGACTAAAAGAGACAGGATAATTCGATAAAGACGTGTTGTAAAAGTTTCTTCGCGCGTTGCCTTGTTCTACGTAACTCCTTTTGCTTTTTTATATCACTGCATATATATAAAATATTTTCGAACCGTATATTCTATTACACTCGTTACGAGTAATGAAATCAGCCTGCACTTATCGAGCGAAAAAAGCACGACGAAATAAAGCGTCAATAGTAACATCGAACGGTAACTCGAGAGTTACCGGCTAGATTTTGAACCTTTTGAAGCTTGCGTACGCTCCACCAGATGCCTTCGCGTATTTACTCTGACATTCAATCATAAACGCGAAAACTTGTGCAGTATTACATATCAAATAAATCGTCTCTTAGTATTCGTCTTAAAAATTATCGAATTGTCTTTACATGATAAATCGAGGGTAGGTTAGTCGTTTCACGCGAGACGTTTTTTTCGCGCGGAAAGTGCAAATACCAAAATATCGTATCGAGTATTTAAAGGAGCTTATATTCGTCCATCGAAAGATAAGACTGGATCTCCTTTGTTAAAACAGAACGATCTTTCACGTCGGCGAGTCCCGTCGTATTTGAGCGCCGCTTTGCGCGAAACCCTTGGCACTCGGCACGTTCGTTGTTTAAGGATTACCGTCGCGGTTCTTCGTTGTCAAAAGTGCGATACCCTCCCGCGCGACCCAATTCTGACGAAATTGCACGAAAGTCTGAGCGCACGTGCGCCCGTCGTGCATTGTGAAATTTCTTCAATTCGAGCGAAGAAAAGTACCATCCGGTTTAGCATATAATTACAGATATAACGTTTAATTCTCTATAATTAATTTTTCGAATATAATATATGTAATTGTTATACAATCCCAAGTTTTCTTCGGGAGGATAGAAAATTTTTAAATAACGCAGTTTCTCTTAACGCTTTCTATGTTTATCTTAACGTTTCTTTTAACGCTTTCTATGTCTAGTTGTATCGACGGGAAACTAAAATATATGATTAATTCGATGGAAAAAGAAAATCACAGATCTGAACGGGAAATATTTAAAAGATACGAAGCAACATTAATATAAAACCCGGTATATATTTTTCAAACGGATCTACGTGAAAAGTCTAATGATATTCGGTCTTTAAGACTATTTCTTCCCTCGACTTCTTCTGAATTTGAATTTCAAGTTAACAAACCTAAGCCAAACATTCTTAAAACGGAAGAGAATACAGAACGCTCGCGCAACTACCGAGATAAAAGAAAAAGAGGAAACTATTGTTCCCCTAGATTGAACAGATTTCGCATAGCCGGAATGATCCAAGAAATGCGTCGGGGGCCGCCTCGTGAGATTTCCTGCGAGATTTCCTTAAATGTCTTGCGACCGACACGTTGCCGTGAGGTCTACGTGAAAGTCGGAACGTAGACCACTCCGTGACGATCATTGCGCGACTCGACCAGTTATCGTAATTATTGTCCTCCCAGTCGACCAGCAGACTCAGGGTTATCGTCTGTTTGCTCTCTCACGTAGCCGTCCGATACCGCCTCGATATTTTTCTCGTCGTCGTCGCGTCGACTTGACCAGTGAACCGATCCTTCAGCAAACACTTGAAATCTCCCCCCCCCCCTCCAAAAAAAACGTGTCGAAACTCAAATGGGATGGATTAACGTCCCGAGAAAAAAATAATAATCCCATACAATTTCCCGAAATACAAGATTTTTCGAATTATTGGAAGATGTGAAAAAATCCCAAAAGACTTATTTCGAAATAATATCTCGGAATTGCGCAAGCCATATATTAGGAGGAGTAAATTCTCTATGTATCGCCTGATCTCACGAATAAGAATCGCCGAAGGACAAAAAGCCTCTCTCTCCGAGTTCGATCTAACAGCGAAGCTGAAGTGACAAACCGACGACCTGACAGTGGCACAAATATCAAGTGAATCCTCGCGTAAAAAGGTGAAGCGAGTACGCGACGACAGTGGACGCGTCGTGAAATCCTTTCGGCCTACTTTCGCACATCCATGACCTATATAAGACATTTCCTCTTTGCCGGCGAGCGCGCGACTTGTAAAGGTAGACGGAGAGAGAGGCTCGTCGAGAGCTTTTTCCGACCGATATCGATGATATCGCACGTTTAAATTTCCGATCTTTCCGATCTTTTATCTAATCTACGTCATCAAACTCGCTCGCATCGAAGAGATATTGTACGTGGTCTCTCTTTCTCTCTCTCTTTCTTGCCGGACAATATCATCGCTCAAGTAGGTCCCGACATTTTTCGACAGGTGTGCCGTCGTGTAATCGATAAAAATAACCCCCCGCCAAGTATCGCAAGGACGCGCTTTTTCGTAGCGTACACACGCGCGCCTGCGGACGCGTAAGTTGCCCGATTATCCATCATTGCGCTTGAATTATGCGCTCTCGCGCAACAGCACTCGGAATAATTGCAAAGCACGCGTACGGTTTACATAATTCCCCGACTGATTGCGAGACGAAGTCGTTCGTCGATCGAAACCATTCTCTTGACTCCAGCGGCGCGCGAAGTGAATTTTACATATTCCTGCGATAAGATCGTTTTAAAAGACCGGCGCTGCATATTCAATCGATAGAGATAAAAAGAAAAAAATTCGCATTTATTCACTCAAACAGAATCTTTTAATGAAATCGCATGGTTAAATACGTCATCGAAAGAAATCGCGCTTGTTGGTTCGTGTAATGATAATCGGTGAACAGACAGAGAGAATAGAAGAGACGAGAATTAATGAAATGCTTACGACAATGGCAAACGAGGAGAGGAAAAAAGAAAACCTCGGACGGAGTGTTTGCGTCAAGTTCGAAGAATGACGCG